AGTTGTTACCAGGCTTCTGTTTCAGCTGTATTTCTTGCTCTTTTGTTTAGAGTGCGTGGATCTTTGATTTTATGTTAGGGAAGTGGTAGCAGCAGTCTAGAATAGTTTATTTGAACTGTTCAAGTCTTGGCAGAAAGTCGGGAAAAGACCTCTAGTTTGATTGGTTGAATTTTCAAAATGTACATGTGTACACAGTTAGTCATTAGAAATAAATGATTAACACAACTGGATTTTAAAGTAGAATGAAGCAGAATATTTACGAAGAAGATAAACTGGTTTCACGCAATGCAAAGAGAATGTGAATGCTCTAGGATGAACACAGTTTAAGGTTGTTTTCTATCAAACTCAAGGCTTTAAAATTAGAATTAGAGCTGTTTATTGATTTGAAATCAAGTAATGTCTTACAGATATCCCGAGCGAACTTCCTCTTAATGTATTTTACAAAACCACCATTGAGAATACATAGGAAGTCATATAGATACTGAGTTGCATAAGTAACTGTTGTCCTTTAGGGTAGAAATTAGGCAATTTTCGTTGTTTGTTCGTGAAGTTCTTCTGCTGTATATTCTTAGGCTTTGTACACAAATATTTTTGTGCGTCGTTTCCATTGTATTTGAGGATTAACTCGTTGTGTTGACTTCATGTACATTTGAATCTTCAATTTTCTGGTGTTAATTCTTTTGATTAAACTATATGGAAATAACATTGTTATTTCAAACCTTCTCTATTGTGAATTTGATTTCGTTGGAAATGTTGTGTCCTTTTCAATAATAGCAGGCGTATCATCCACATAGATGATCCAAATTTTCAGTGAGTACTGTTTCAGCATACACTAACCATAAAAAATAAATATCAGGACGCTGTTTACGCATTTCACTTTCAGAGTTTTCTTCACAGCTAACTCTTATCCAATGAATGTGTAATTCACTGTGTTTGACATATCTTTATTTCAGTGGGATATAACTTTTATGCCACTAGTTTCACTGTAAGGATACTGTGTCATGACAAATTCGGTTATCTCTCCTTGACCGATAAATTTTGATCATATCTGATGAGTAATACATAGGTGATATTCATTATCAGTTGACAAATGTACAATCTATCATTCTCTGTTGGGAGTATTTGGGATAATAACAAAAAACTTCAGTCAGTCGCCATTAAAATAGGACTTGGTATTACTATGTCGTAATCTATCTCTCTTTCTCATATCAAGATACAAAGCACCAAAGTGAAATACATAGAAAATCTAATCAAACTCCGTAGAAAGTCATAACGTGAAAAGGGGAGAGTAAAGTAAGTGACAGAATGTGGCGGAGTGCTTGACGCCAAGATAAGACGTGAATGTAAATTCACCAATAAATCAACTCTGAGGCATAAATGTTAGGAACTACAACCACAGATTACAGTTGTAACCCGAACTGAAGTCTGGAAACCAACATGTCTCAGACTAACATTTAGAGGCTTCTTATAGTTGACAACACATTTTAACTTCATCAGCCTTAAACTTGTTTTCTCAAACCTTCACCTGACTTCATAGGTCGGGGTACACTTTGATTAGGTATGTCTGTCTAAGTTGAGTTGTGGCTCATTGATTTAGGGTGTTGACCTTCAACCAGTGGGTTCCAGGTTTGAACGCCACTCCACATACCGAGGTGTGGACAGTTAGGTAGTATCACTAATCCTCACACAATAGCTGTGGATCATCGCCTACCGCAAGAATGTACACAAAGTTATTGGGTGAATTTCAACTTCGATTCGTGTCACATGTCCCACCCACCACCTATAGCAACTTCCACAAAGTAACGGCATAAAATATTCAGTACGCACTTAGTACAACTTACATCCTTTCAGAAATCAAATACTAGAACTATGTTGTCCTGAAGAGATAGAAGATACATAACCTATTGATTCAACTTCATCCATCATGATCACCAGCTTCGGAAATATTCAAATGCCAGGTAATGAGTAATTAAGCGTTACCGGAATGTTTAATTCACTGATTATTTTATTAGTAATAGATAGTGGGCCACAAGGCTCTGAGGTCCAAGTAGATACTGAAAAAGATCACCACAGAGAATAGTCAAGTTAGTCAGGCCACAGCTCTCAGAGTCTGATGAGTAAGCGAATGGTGTATCATAAAAATCCTAGTTTGCACTATCATTACCAGGTTCCCTGTTATATTCCAGGTTCAGCTGAGGCGAATGGCCCCTACTAACTATAGTAATGAGCATTTCTTCAATCTCCCCTTGCAAGTAGATCACTAGGTCTGTTTTTTACAGGCTTTCGAAAGTTGCGGGTTGAAGACATATAGAGTGTCAGTTTACGCACTATCTGACAATAAATTCAGTGACTAGGTGGTGGCTATATGCAAGGCGTTATTCAAATCTCCAACCCACTTTCCATTCTCTTTTAGTATTTTTAGCTACACCCAGTGTTGATCTACACTTCGTTTCACTGGTTAACTAGTTGTCTTTACACTCATATCAGCCAACTACTCAACCCCAAACCCAGTAAAATTGAAACCCCTTTCTCTACTATGTCACTGTACATTTGTAGTCGACTAAAAATACGTCACCATAACATAAACCGTGCTACTGAAGCCCTATGTTCCGCTAGGAACCCGAGGGACAAATAGTAAATAATGATGACATAACCACGAAATATTTCAATTAGACCAATTTTATATCACCAAAATTTGTATCAAACTTCAATAACAATAAGCAAAACGTTTAGTATCAAATTTATTTCAAAATTGAAACTTAAATATGATGTAAACCCCATTTACTTTCTCCACTGTTTGAATAAAGCTGAATCAAATAAATGATTCCATCAAAATATGAATATTTTCCTTTGACAATCAATTTTTGATTTCATTTTCTAAACAAACATCCAAGTTAAAAGCTAACTATGGTCTGCACAAGTCCAGAGCACACTACACTCACTGACCGGCTTTGTGTCCCATTAATACGCCAAAAGTTTCAACAGGAAGGCCAGCAACAGTACCAACTGCCAATCGTCTGTGGGAAACGCATTACTGCTGTAACAACCCCATTCAACAGACAGTACGTCTTCGACCTCGCGCCCCCATTAAAATGCAGCTGCATACTCAATAACAGTAAGTACTTTTTATTTCACCACTACCTACCAGAACTTAGCATAGGAGGACGTCAAAAATAATTTCCCCCAACCAGCAGGCATCGTTAGGTAATCGCGACACTCAACTCTAACCATTACGTCAAGATAACAGCTGTTGGTCGGCAGTCTGCACAGTCATGCAGGAACGCTAGATCACATGTTGATGTATACTGATTAACCCACCAGTGTATGCCTATATCACTATTTATTTCCTCGAAATCCTGAATTGTTATCTGCTTCCAAATCAGTTTTTCAGATGTCATCAGGTGAAAAGTCATGTCTCATCAACCTGGTTTCAGTCATTGACACCTTCTCTCAACAATAAAACATGCTGTCCAAACCCAGAAGGAGGTATCTCCAAAGACAAGACAGATTCTCTACAAGTCCTGTGCATAAAATCACACATGACTGTTGACTCAAGTAGCACCATGTTTGTTTCTACTACCTCCTCTATCAAAGAAAACCCCTTCATATGAACTCCCAACAAAATACGGTTTTTGATAGTAACCTACCCGTTCAGCTGATATCGTGGATTTGTTCGAACCTCCTTGTATTCTATACACAATCAGTGGAAAATTACTTAGCATTCGATCAGCAGTACAACTTGACAAGAGAGCGAATGTAATGTGTCTTTCATCACCATGCAGACAGGTCATTCCAAGTGCGCTAAACTTAATTACGTATATAGGAAAACACAGTCACTCCACTTCGGTTACCTCGGTTGGATAGTTTACACAAACCAAGTCTACAAAAACCCTTATATTCTAAATTCATTGGTTTCTTCTGGTCTCTGAACCAGCTACCGAGACTAACTTGAACCACACGTTCCAGTTGAATCAAATTTCATCCAAGGACTTACAAGTCTCATCCACAGACCAGTTTATCTTCTCCTCCCTATTATTCCAAACAACGTTGATGCTTTATATGCAATAGTCTACTGAAAGAAACAAAAAGACATGTAAGAAGGAAGGAATATTTATTGTCAACAAATCGGACAGTAGTCGTTAAATATGGTACACCTTGCATTAAAACGCTCATTTTCAAAATGTGCTTCATTTCCTCCTCTGCTTCTCTCTTGATTTGCTCTTCATACGTCTGCCTTGTCTCTTGTGTTTCTCTTGGCAGAATCCTTACCTACTGCTGGTAATTCGCTATGATTTCTGCCACCCTCTCAACATATACTACTTATATCCATTCTTATCAGCAACGCCCACTACACTACGTACTTGCAAATACTTCACTAACACCGTCTAACGCTTTTTCATTATCCCAGCTCCAGTACTGCCCAAATCCATCGCTAAAATGAAATGTACCGTCCTACAAGCTTCCGTAAAATCAGTTACAAGTTTAGCCTTTAGTGAATTGTATCATCATTATATTATTATCTACTTTTCCATACCCTTAATTTTGTGCTCCTTACAAGGAAGAACTGTTGTCTTCTACAAATACGAAGGCTTAGACAGTTGTGATTTTACGATATTGGTTTCCCTCCTTCGTCTCTTCTGTCGGTGTTTCCATTTCCATTCGCTGCACAGGCTAAAAGTAATAACCCCAGTTACATAAATCTTATGCAACAAATTTCAGGATTTTAGGTAAAACTTGAAGATTTGAATTGCGTTTCTAGAACAAAGTTTCCAGCTTATATTTTAACGACTCACTCAAACTTATTAACATCTTAACGCTGCGACGATCCCATTTCTTGCTAACATTGTACTTAAAATGGCAGGTAAATCGAACATAAATCCTCCCACTTGTCAAATCTTGTGATACCAAAACACAGTGAGGATACTCCCAATCAAAATTATCTTCAGGAAAGCGAGTCGTAAACGAGAATAAAGTACAAAATACTCATGCTTATCCCATCACTAATCAAAATAATCTGAAAGATCGATGTCTGGATCAAGAAGACGATCTTCTAAATTGGTTAAATCAATCTGATTCAAAATCAGGTTTTCGAGGGTTTCTTCTAAATCTGTCTCACCAATTAGAATAGCTCCTTGCATACGACCCGACTGCATAATACACTTGATAAATTCTCGTCCACGTGTGACACGCATTAAAAGATATGTATCTGAAGCAGACAGATTCATACCTTGACCGTTAAAACGACCTAATAGAACAACCTGGAAGAAAATAGAAACACAAGGCATTAGAAGTAAAACCTACTGAATGAAGGGTTATATTAAAATCTGACATAGTAACTAGATCGGCAACATACACAATATCTGTTGACTGCAGTAATCTCACGTCAAAACAAATGCTATCAAACACATTTTGATCAAAATAACCAAACAGTGGACATAACCGTTCTAGGAGTCTACCTTTCCTTAAAAGTAATATAAGCAAAGCTGTAGTTGTTTTTCTACAATTTATAAAGCCAGTCACAACAGCGCGTGACAAAACAGAAAACCTGAAGTTTAATAGACAAAAATAATCGTTTATATTACTTATATCCGTAAACACTCAATCCTTTCATAAAAACACTTCAAACGCTTCAAAAGTTAACTCAACCAATGAAGAGAATGTGCCTTAAGAATTCAATGGATTTCTTATCAACAAATATAAAATTTATACTTAAGCACAAAGATAAGTTTATCAAAATAGACTACTAAATAACATCGGGGGTTGACAACCAAACATGCTGATCAGAGGATTTTGTTAGCCAAATCACAATGATCTAAATAACGGACAGTCATTTTGATCATTCGGGGCCAATCTCATCAGCGATGTTAAAGGGTAAATTCAGCTCACAGAACGGAAGTCTTCAACTCAACTAAAATCTACAGATCACCACAAATGGTTCTCAACTACTCATGTGGTTCAGCAGTATATCTCGATGGTTCACGATACATCTACACTAAAGATCATACCTTGTGATCTTTCCTCGGTGGTTGCCAACGAAAATCCTTTTGGTACCATAGGTAGATAGTCAGAAAAACGCTTAAATTGGAAAGTACAATTTGTAAATCAATTGCAAATTGGTCATCCTATTTAAAAACAGATCTTTTCAATTTTTGTTGGAAATACAACCAATATCTCAGCATGAGTAAACATTCACTTCACATTTATTTGGACCACATCAGTATTTTGAAATATGTTAAGGTGTGAGAAACGTCAAATGTTTTGTCCTCTATCTCATAGATACAAAGACATTTATGCTACTAAAAACAGGTATCAATTTGAAAATAATCTGATCAGGAAGGTTTCCCCTCTACCTATTCGATTGATAGCATCTCATGACAAAGTCTAACTAAGGTCAACAGTTCAATACTACTATCAAAACTGTTACTAGTGGACTATTCCAATTTCAACTTGCACAATCCAAAACACAACTCTAGGAGCACATAAAACACAGGGATATGTAAACAAGTATCGTAACCAGTGAATCACTTACAAGGCATATAAATCTGGTGCTTGAGACTTACTGAAAGCTCAAGAGATGTTGCAATTGTCAACGCTAACAAAATGAAAGAATTATGGTCTAGATCATCTTGATAACTAACACATTTTAAGGGAAGATGAATTCACACAAATACTGAAACAGGAATTATAGAAAAAGACTGTTACAAAGTGTAGAAAGACGATAAATGTTTCAGTCTAATGTTTATTTACCCTCTATATAATTGAGTACATACGATGCAACTATATCACAGTGCACAACATTTCAGTGCACAAACTGTTTAGTGAATAAGATTACAGAAAATGTTGAAAGCATTTATTTGAAAATTAAGATGAACGCTTAACAGTGATTATTTACTAAGAATGACTTACTTTGAAACCAAAAAAGTAGGTAACATGAGTGAAAAGCTCGAAAGAAAAATCCAATGGAACATTTTCATCGCCACGAGTGTGACAGAACATACACTTGGCAGCCTAGAAATACAAATTATCCAACCATTATAAAAACCAAAATAAACTAAATCACTTTATCATATTCCCACATAAAGTATTCAAGTCAAACTCTGTCCCAATTCATTGTACCGTTGCTACATACACACGATAAGTATAATATAAACAACGACAAAAATGATTCTAGCGCTTTTCATTCACCTCCCTTTTGTCTCATAACTATTCATTTCGACTCACTAAACAGTTTGATTCATTCTTAGTCAGCTCTCAGAGAAGTAATTCAACATGAATGAAAAAAAAACTACCAAAAGAAGAAGGTTAATTCGATTCTATATTTTGGAAACAACAGAAACCGTTGATTTTCTTATCTATATTTCACCTTATCACGTTAATTTAAAAATCTAAACAGTATAAATAACATACCGGGCATTATTGTTTTCTATAACATGGTTTACCCCGTGAAACCTCTTTTATGAGATCAATTCTGAGGCTGCCACCAACCCTGGCGATGAAACATCCCATGATAGAATATCAAACATCAGAAAGGATCAAACCATCACCATCATCAGTCTCAGCTACAAATACTTTCAGCATTTTACCTCAACCTGCAACTAACAACACTTCCCTCCCATGCATCGCATAATCAGAATACAACTTTTCATCTTGCATGCAACTCCGTTAGTAGGTTTTGACAGGAAACACAAATGTATATTGTATATCGAATATCAGTAGCTTCATTATCGCACTGAAGATCAAGTGTGAGATTCTGATTCATCGACACCCAACATGACATTCCCCTTGTTAACTTTAGTTTTGAAGTAAAAAAAATACTTCATTAAAGAACTGAATAAAAACACTAGCTGTAGATCAAAAACCAAGAATATCTTCGTGTTATTGTTACTGGCTGAATATATGGCTTCTTATTTACAGCACACACAAATGAAGTTTTGTTCACTGCGCTCATGCACAGCACCAACCTAAGAGAAATGTGAAAACCCGAATCCTAAACCAGTAAAGGATATTCTGCCAGAAAATCGCAAAAGATAAATCGAGTCTAAACTTGGAAGCTGAATTTTAAGTCACACTAACTGGAAACCGATGACACCAAATCCGCGTCCAGACATCCATCCATCCAGATCAACCTAGGAACAGGCATTACTGCGTAACGGTCTGAGTTGCCACAGCTCATATTACTACATCAAGTAAAAAGGCAGTGAAGTGCAAGATGAAGACAAGAGAATAAAGTCAAGAGAAATATAAAGTAAGAAAAGAGAGAAAAGAAGAATGAGGAAGGGCTGAAATTTGGTATAGCGTCGTTAATATGAGGATAATGTATATATATATCTGCGCCAGTGACATCGGTTCTCAGCCATATCACCTAGAGTCAGTCTCCAACCACCGGTTCCTCTTCTCCCGCCGATCCAAACCACCTAGTCTGCATCTCCCCCCATGTCTCAAACCAAGAGTCAAACACTTCATCTATTCGTGCCATGTTTTAGTCTGGCCACCTCCGGCCTTTTTCCAGCCTGGACCTACTTTAGCCAACATTGTGTGACGAGGCAATCGACGACTAGGCATACGTAACACATGTTGCAACCATCTCAGTCGATCAAGGTTCACAACCGTGTCAACTGACTTACCTCTTCTCCCTAAAACTCTACACCTGACGCCTGCGTTACTCGCGTGGTGACACCACAGAATACGGCCTATACCACGAAGGCAACGGTGTTCAAACACCTGAAACCTTCTCATGTCTTCCACCTTCAACGACCATGTTTCACAGCCATACAGTAGAACAGATCGGACTGTTGTACAGTATACACGACTCTTAGTAGACAATCGGATATCACGGCGGCGCCACAGGTGGCGTAAGTTGGCGAAAGCCAATGGAGCCTTTTGTATCCGTGCAGAGATTTTACCGGCCACTGAGCCATCAGGGCTGATCCTACATCCCAGGTAAGTGAAGTGGTCGACACGCTCAACCACTTCACTGTCTATTGTTAGCCGTGGTACCGCTGAAGACCAGTCCTGGAGCAAAAATTTCCATTTAGGTGGTGAGAACCGCATCCCAAACATTCTCAAATTCCCACTCAAAGTGTTCAGAAGACTCTGCATCTTGTCAGCGTCTTCACTTAACAGGACTGTGTCATCTGCATAATCTAAGTCTAACGAAAATTCTCTTGTGATTAGGTCAACGTCTGTGTAACCTGGTGACGAGAGGGAGACCTCCATAGGAATATCTATGATGAAATTGAATAAGAATGGAGATAGTGGGCATCCTTGATGGACACCACTGGATGAGCATAGCTCCCTGGACAACTCACCATAGGCTCTAACATGCCCACAAGTGTTCGAGTAGAGAGCTTTCAATAAGGTGATGTACTTACTAGGCACGCCTTTCAGTGAGAGACACTGCCATAAGACTTCTCGATCAACGGAGTCAAATGCCGCCTTCAAGTCGAGAAATACAGCTATTGTCGGGCACCGGTATGCGTGTCTGTTTTCCAAAACCTGGCGCAGTGTGAATATTCAGTCGATACATCTGCGGCCAGGTCTAAAGCCTGCCTGGTTTTCTCGGGCTTGCTGTTCCCGAGCTCCACTCAGGCGTCGGAGAATTATAGAACTTAGGATCTTAGACACTATGTTTGTCAGGCTGATTCCTCTGTGGTTATCACAAGAGGACTTCTCGCCTTTCTTGAAGACTGGGATGATCAGTGACTTAGACCAGTCGGAGGGGATCGTATTTGATTCCCATATACTGGCTAACACTTCCGTTAACCTGACTAAGAGCACTGGACCACCATTCTTGTATACCTCAGCAGGTAGTCCGTCTGGTCCTGCTGCCCTTCCTCGTTTCAGGCTACCTACCGCTTTCTCAACTTCTTCTAGTGTTGGGGGACCTGTCTCTATGTCCCATTCAGGATCCGACTGGATAGCGGGCAACGCAATGGTGGCTGGAGGCCAGTTAAACTGTTCCTCGAAGTGTTCTGCCCATCGTTTCAGTCGTCTCCCCTGCGAGTGAATCGCAAACCTGTCCTTCTCCGCTATAACCTCACTAACTGTTGTTGACCATTTCCCCCAGTCTCCTTAATAAGTCTAAATAACTGTCTACTGTTACCGATCGCCGCTGCCTTTTCCATCTCTTTAGCCTTCGCTGCCCACCACTGTTCACGATCGTTGCGCAGACTTTTCCTCTATCTACTTTTAAGTTGTGCCCGCTCTTCATTGTACTCAGAGCCTGCAGGGATGCGTTCACGTGCATCCATTAGTTCAGAAAAAGCTGCTGATATCCACTGGCTCTTTTTAGCCATTCTTTCGGAGTCGGTTACAGTCTTCAGTGCTGCTTTTACAGCAGACTGAAGATGGCACCAAGCTTCTTCTGGATGAGTGACAGTCTTTTGTCCCGATAACTGCCTAGCCAACTTCTCACTGAACACGGCTTTGGTGTTTTCTTTATCCAGCAGCACTCGTAGTGGTTTTGTTGCCAAATTTTTTCTACGTCCATTGAGACGCAGGCATATACATGTTCGGACCAACGCGTGGTTGCTATCCAAGCTTGTACTCCAGAAGGAACGGCAGTCTCCCAACGATCCTCTCCAGCGAACACTAGTAGCAATGTGGTCTATCTGTGTTCATCGCTGAGTTGAGCTCGGTAAACACCACGTCAGACGGTGTCTTTCTTTATGTCTGAAATTGGTGCTGGCTAAAAATAGGCGATTATCTGAGCACAGTTGTAATAGGCGATCACCGTTATCTGTACGTTCAGCTGGGATTCCGAACGTCCCACCTAAGTGCCTTTCTGCCTCACTCAGTTCACCCACCTGTGTGTTGAAATCACCTGCAACAACCACCACATTCGAATGTTTGGCTTTCGAGAGGAGGCTAGACAGTTTACGGTAGAACTCATCCTTCACTTCATACGAGCTGCAGTCAGTGGGTGAGTAAGCAGAGATTACAAAGAGACAACGGCGAGTCTCACTATTCCTTTTAGTTCTCACTGTGCCATTCAGCCATATGGCGCAGAGGCAACTATTAACTGGGATCCAGTCTAGTAGTGAGCCATCTGCCCTAGTGCTTAATGCTATGCCTACACTTGCAAGACCCCAAGAGCTAGCTACCGAATCTCCAGAAACTCGAAGGGTGAATTTTGCGGATTCACCAGACTGGCTGAGAGATGTTAGGTGAATAACCGCACTTAGGTCCTGTATGCGTGTCTCACAAACACAGCACACATCCATACCCGAGTTGCTGGAGTCTTCGCCAATGAAGCCTGTTGACCAATTTGACGGAGGGTGTGGACATTGAAGGCTCCAATATGTAATTTGGAGTGTGGTTTAAGGAGACCAAGGATGCTAAAGATGATGTAGTATTGTTAATTGGGAGACGTGAAGGAAGATTAGGTGGTAATAAGGGGGGAAGTGGATAATAGTCTGAGGAAACTTGAGTGCTGACAGAGTTATGAGGACGATCGACACTTCCCGGCTGCCTACACCGTGGAAGGCCATTTCTTCTTAAGGTACCTAAAAGAGATCTGTGTGACCGCAGAGTCCATCGGACATCTGATTGAGGCCTGTCACACGTAGCCTTTTGAGTATGATTATTTTGATTTTTCGTTGTTTTGGGGCCGGATGGTCGAAAAGAAAGGACAAATGAACCAACACCGCTTGCCCGACAGACTGTGGGGCATAGTGGAGTGTGTTATTTTTGGGGCCGACCTTTTTTAACCCCCCCCCCTTCCACTGAGAAGACAGCATACTGCTGTCACACCAAATCCAGCTAACAGCAGTACGACTTCGCCCTCAGACCCCATCATAGTGTAGTAATTTACACCATAACGGTAACTGCTTTTCGTCTAACCACTATCCAACAGACCTTTCTGGTATGGTAGGACCCACAGAGAACAAGTGTTTCACCAGCATAGCTCGTTGGGTCATTGTGATATGCAAGCCCGACCACAACGTCAAGGTAGCAGCTATCGGTCGAGCCGTGTCCAGACAAAAACATACGATTCCATTGAGTCACTTCTAACAATCACCCGGTGATAGACACATGCATACGAACACTTCATATCATCACTATCCTGAGTTAAGCAGTGTTTAGTTACTTCGATACAAACTTTCAAAATGCACAAACTATCACTACATCGACAACGTAGACCACTTAATACAACAAGAGAAAACTATGATGAAAAAGTTTTAACAAAGCATATCAAGCAACCAAATAATAGAAATTAATTTAACAACAATAACGAGAAAAAACTCACATGAAATCCCATTTGCCTAGCTTGATTCCATAACCTCATTTGGAACCAATGCGGAGACCACGTCCAATTAGCATATGCACAGTCTCCAGCAGCATAAACATCTTTCCAGCTGGTACGCATTTGCTCATCAATTAAAAGACCACCACCCAGTTCCATTGAAACACGATCGAATGAAGCGCCAAAAACCGATGGCTTTATGACCTCTTCTGTGTTATTGTTACCATCATCATCATCATCATCAGTTAAGGCAGCAGAAGTACTGACACCTTCATCACCTCGATTCTTGTTGAACGGATTAAAATTTGCTTCAACGCCAACTGCACTTACAACTAAATCACATCCGTAAATTTCGTCATTTGTTAACTCTACATAAACTGGCCAGTTGTTAACCGGCGACATACTGCCACTATTAGTACTGCTACCATTTGTAAAAGGTAAAGTTTCTAACTTACTCAAACCACGGAATTCTTCCGGAGACAAAAACCTTTTCACCTTAGTTTGATAAACTACCTGAAACATACAAAAGTTGGACCAAAAGTATCAATAATAAACATGATACGCTTAATTTAATAAGATTTGCTTCAACAGAAAATGTCATAGTCAATAATAGAAATAAATGACAAGAAAATCCTGTCAACATTTCTCATATCTACTCTCTATTAAATATCTCAGGATTTACTTCTCATCGTAAACTGGAAAGCTATCAATGACTAGTTGAATATTAACTAAACTAGATAACGAACGTACTATAAATTGAGTTCAGTGAACTTTTCGAAAAGATAACGACGAGTAAACTCTGAAAAATCTGACAGTCTTATGTTTCATTCAGGAAGCAGATAAAGGTATACAAAACTGGAGAGTCATCAACTAATTATGATTGGTATCAATTATTAAATCCAATAGAGATTTATACTGCACGTTAGTAGATAAAGAACAAACATTCAAAATCAAAACGTACTAGGCACTCGCAACATTGTTTCTAGTGACTCCTTGACAATGAGCAAAAATATCCGAAAAATTAATCAAATCCAAGTATACACAAACCTGTATATGTAATACAACCAAGTATAGGATGCTCATTTTGGAAACAAAGATGTCAAAGAACCGGCAGGAAATACTAACTTGACATATCATCCAATTCGATATACTAGATGGTTAATCGTCAGGATCAAGAAAATGATAGCGACATATTGTGTAAGTAGGCAAAAGTTGGCAAATAATTAACAAGCAGATTTTATGTTACCAGCGTAACTGCAATCTAATTATCATAAAGGCTAAAAACCTACAGTTTAACCCCACTATACTTGAAGTATCAACGCGGTTGAAGAGTTAGAAAGTATGAGAAACATGTTTCACATTCCCTGATATTTACTGCTTCTTCTGTTCGTATCCATTGAAATGATATCATCAGGTCAAACATCTAAAACCAACTAGCTAAATTATATATATATATATATATATATATATATATATATGCATTATTATTGCTACAGTTTGGTGTGACGCTATTTCTCGTACTCTACGTGACCATCAACCTACAGAAAAATCATCGAGAGTCTTTCATATTTCACTGTTGCATATCACTTAGCGAAAAAAGAATTCAAACTAGACACTGGTAGTAGTAACGGCTAGGGTCACAGACACTTTGTGGATCAGTTGACCTCTCTCTGAATTGCACACAAGATATTGTTGATAATTATTCAATGTTTGTTTGATAGCTAACAATAAACAATATGAAATCATGCACTCACGTATTGACATCAATACGGTTTGTCTTCGTCCTCCAGAAAACTAGCCCATCCTCAAAGATTCAAACATACAACGTTCAGTTGTCTAGTTAGAGACATTAAAGCTGAACCACTTATGAAATGATGTATAACTGGATCTATTCGGATGAATCACAAACCACACGGCGACCGAAGTGATGCTTTACATTATAGTGTTAATGAAGTCCTGAAAACCACTGATAGTAACAGTTCAGAGGTAATGGACCACAAGAATTTAAGTCTCAAAAACGCTAACTTCTAATAGGTATCCAATGAGTACTAAAGTCATATCCAATATTTCTTGACGACTGACTCCACCTTTTTCAATCCATTCTAGTTTTTGTCCCACTTACCATGAAGTATTCGACAACAAAAAATATGAAAATTTATTCCCAAACGAATGATATATGAACACCTTACCTACATCTAATAATCACAGCGAGTAGAGACACGTTTAATCAGGCATTTTTCAAAAGTCTCCCACGCAATCATGTTCAGGTACTCAAACCTTGACGAATGCGTTACAGTTGACTGTCTACTTAACTTAAGACTATTGAGTAGCAATGATATTTTCCTTGTAATGCTTGTGGCATGGAGGAGATCGTGTGAGGAAGAAATGCGGGCTTCCGGGCAGTCGTGGAGCCAGGTTCAAAGATCGCAGAGAACAGAGTAGAGTGGAGATGTGCTACTGAAGCCCTATGTTCCACTAGGAACCCAAGGGACAAATAATAATAATATAATAATGCTTGTGGCTTATGTCAACAAAAATTACTTGATTGAAGAGAAAAATAAATTAATAATGATCTTCAGTTTCCATAGTAGCATAATGAAACTTGACTACGATAAGCTCCTCTCTTGAAGGAACACAGAAGGGTTAAGTTTATGCAAGTACTACTACAGTTCAGTGATTTACACACTACTCTTAACCACAAAGCAAACAACTTAGGTGCCACTCCATGTGATAAAGGCAGAACAGCCAAATAACGTCAAAGAACTCAAGGTGATAAACACTTGAATATCAGTCATGCTGGCTTAAATGTGTTCCTTTTAACCACGTTTTCAATCCGAACAAACTTATCATACTCTACATTTCAGGTCTAATCATATCTTGACAGCCTCGTCTCACTCATCCTTCGAAAATAATACAACAGAACACTGTTCTTCACGTTCAAAATTTCTCCACAAGATCACAGGAATGCTAGTGGGGCAAATGATTGAAAAGATAATGCAACCAAACGCAAAACAGAAACATACAGAAAAAAATCCCTAAGCCACACTACATACACAGGAACTGCTCATTACAACTCCCAAGTCTCAAAAGGTTTGAATGATTTCTAAACACCACAACACAACGAAAACACATAAATTAAATCAAACACTTGTTAATGAAAAAGCGGAGATACAGCATCTATAATTTACATGAATATTTGAAACACACATACTTTAAGTAATTCGCCCTCAACTGTATCAACGAGACGACCGTGTAAATTGCGTCCATGCGCCCAATCAGGGCCTAAAGCCGCACCGGTAACTACCGGTCTACTAACGACGGATCCATAAGGTTGACTTTGATCAGGAACAAGTATAAGATGATCTTTTGAAGTCTTTGGAACAGACTCATCATCAGCCACCACGTAACGCATACGTCTAATTTGTGTGCTTTCTGAAGTATCACTATGCGGATTGAAGGTAACTTCATCTTTCTTGACACAGCTTTGTTGCTTGGCAATTTCTCTCGCCTCTAAAAGAAATGCAGCCGCCACTGGATCTAGAAATGGAGAACTTATGCTACTGTCTTTGATAACCCAACAATTTGACAACCAGAAACTTCATGGGCAATTTCGGTTGCTATGCCTCCATTCCCAATTAATAACAAACGACGAGTACCTAGGTGAAGCATAAAACACGATCTAAAAATGTCTAAAAGTGCACTACAATATGCTTGATAGTTTTGCTCACTAATTAGCATATAATACACAAGTATACACTTCAAAAATATGTCTATTTCAACTACACAAAGCGTATGACAAGTAACAGACTAATTGCGTCAAGCTTAACCTGTTTGCAAAACAGAGATTGTTTCAAAGGAATAATCTACAGGCTGCTTAATGTCCTCAAGGGTTTGAAGCCGTAATTCAGTTAAACAGAGATATTTTTAACATAGACAAATGGACAAGATATTTCTCATCAATAAAGGTTGAACAACAACACTGGAAACAGGTTGACTTCAGTAACTATTAGGCGACTCACAGTTCAGTTACATACTGCAAAGGAAAATGCACATACAGTTAAGCATCATTTTTTGAGTGTGCGAGACAACCCAGGTGAGCTGAAGTTATCAACTAGGATTTTTTCTAAGACTTTTGGAGAAGCATGTATTACACAAGCCTACCGATACTCAAATGAGAAAGTTGTTTACAATGAATTACAAACAAGATAATGACAACGTCAGGTTGGTAACACGAAGTACCAGTATGAGTCTATGCCTTCACTCCCTGATGGTGTGAGACAGATAGATACAAATTATGGTAAATGTAAAAGATAGGTGATAGAACCAAAATTCAATACGGATAGTATCTAGTCTTAGTCTTGCTTTAAATTTTAGTTCTACATTTCTATCCACTCTTCGTAATATCTTCTGGTTTTCGGTTACCTCTATTCCACCTCTTTTCATAGCATCGGACAACAACTTGTGATTTATTGGTGACAAACTGCATATTTACACCTTAGAATGCAGCAATAACAAAATGAAATGAAACAGCAGTTGCTTAACAGAACAATTGTATAGACGCTTATAGTTTATAAGCCCAACGTGACACACAGATATGATCAATGTCACTTCATTTATGCCCTAGCATAAAAAGGCTTCGAAGCAGGATCCTCGGTATTCACACAAACATTTCTGCATCCCATAAATTTTGTCGAAGTTTTCAATAGCTAACTAACTTTAATAAGAAACAATCTAACAGATATTGTTGATTGATACTTGAAAATTGCCACTCCATTACTGGGTCGGATTACTCCATCTCTGTTATCAGATGAACTCCGGTGCCAATGTCTCGATGCTGCCCGGATATTCATTATACTATAGTCTACTTGGTGGCTAGCAGTGGAATCCAAGAGGCGCGTTTCGTCCAGTTCGGGACTCTTCAGCTGAACACTGAGTTCAAGTCTTAGCGGCAAAAACATCACCCACTGTAGTGTAGGTTCATCCAGCTGACGTCTCCCAAATAAGAAGAAGCGCACAACCTGGATTCCACTGATAGCCAATAAGTGGGCGACAATACAATCTAACACACAATTGCATCGGTTTAATGTGCTATATTTTCACGTAACACTATCGGATAAGATGCACAATGAAATAAAATGAACTGCAATATATACAAATAAACAAATTCAAGAAAATCGGATACTTAAGACTAAAATCAGACGAAATAAAGCAAGTTGTTGAGTCCACTTTGGTGGCAGTATATTCATGCTGTGTAATCGCTAGACAGAATATACGTTGAGCTTCATATTTATTAGGAGAAATCTATTGCCTAGTTGCTCACCTTCATATTACCCTTGACTGACTATTTCTTGCTAGAAAATCATATTAAGATTAGTCTGCCTTGGTCACTCTTTCATATATAAGTGATTGCCTTAACTCATCAATGTTAGTTTATCTTATCTCAGTTCAGTGTACAGTTTTAACATCAATATAAATAAACTAATGAAAAAGGTTATTCACTTACACAGTACAATGTGGTCAGTTTAATTACTCTGAGTGTACTAAATTGCATCGAACACTACAGGACTATTATGCATAGATATTATCAATATTGAACCTCGGACAACCTATGAAAACCTTAACTAGTCACTTAAGCGAAAATATTTCAGATGATGGTATATTAATGAAGATCTGCGGAATAAGAATCAGAGAACGATTTGAGTAAAGTAATGAAAACATAATCGACAAGTATGGACAAAATCAGAAAAAGATTCCAACTGAAAACAGATATGGCTTTGAAGACCACTGAAGATTGAGGGTTACAAGAGAAGTATTTGGTCTCAGTTCGAGAATCCAACAAAATACATCCTTATATGCTTGCCAAACTTGTTTCCAGCACCTCGGAATAACACAGTGATCACAATACTCTTCAGGAAGTGTTTCGAAATATTCCAACCTAATTCCTGATACAACACAAACGTTCCCCTTAGGTCATAAAAAAAGTCCCGACATAGATGAGGCTTCGAAAAATACGAACCTCAGTAAATATAGCTTAACACACATAAAAGCGAAACAGATACAAGACATTATTTAAAGTATTCAGCAAGACAAAATTTGGTCAACTGACTGAATAATCATGTTAACGAATATTTGTTTAAATATTATAGAAGGGAAGGATTGATTCTACCTCCCATTTTGATCACATCAGATTATTTACGAGAAACGTCAGTGATATAAAGGTATAGAACTGACAACAGACCTCAGTCACAGTAGAAAAAATAAGATCAGGACAAAAGACTAATTACAGTAGTCTCAAAAAGCATGTATAAAACTCATTAAGATGAATTTTAACGATCTCAACTGTAAATACAGCATGAATGTTTAAGCAGTAGACCTAACTGGATGGATTGAGCTATACAACTTAAACATCCTTTGTTTATGTTAACCTGATATTTACTGTTAAAGAAACAAATGCCCATTGATAAACATGATAACTTCATTCAGTAGTGCCTGACGCCATTGTGAAGAACAAGTGAATTTGGTGCAGAGATAGATGTCCTCTGATAAAACCAAACGATAGTAGTGCAGTGTCATGAGTCGACTGAATTTATAAACTGTGAACCATTAGACACAGATCGACCTACTCGTTGAGTAGCGATAAACTCAAAGAAAAATGAAAAGGCTTCTATTCTACAAGTGTACAGTTGAAGGTCAACACTCACGAGGTAATTTAGACTGCAAAAAACGACTCACTACTTTCGGCTTTCGTTACTTTACTAGTAAATATCACTTAGTGGTGAAAATTGTCCCAAAAACTAATCGATTTCCAGAAATCTATCGAGCTGGAAAGTGCGTATTTGCATACTAATATATGCATTCAACAGCTGTAAAAAGTTTGGAGTGACTGTTAATCACTCTGATTCAGGCATTGAGCTACGAAACAACTCATTTTGCAAACGGCTAGACACCTAGTGAGTAATTAGGTGGAGTATCAGAGAATATTAGGCAGAATACGCACCTAAAGCGAAATTGACAAAATACACAGTACTACAAGTCAAACGATAGCAATATCGAAATCAACTGTTCCCTTAGGAGTTGTGAAGAATCATGCTTTTTTCACTGATAAAACTGAGGCTCGGTCGTACCAGCTGTCATAACTTCAGACGATTAGGAATGATCAATTCACGTCACGCATCAGAAACTGTTCAGTAGCCTATGAAACAATGAAAACGCACATCTAGCCTGTACTCCATAACAAATAAAGATATTACCCGATGTCGTTTACAATAGTTTGTCTTTACTTCCACTTCCTGAATCTATACTGCAAGACTGCTTTCTGATTGTGAAAGAGAGGCATCACAGCCACACACACACACACACACACCAAAAAATATGCCTCTAAAGAAATACCAGTTAAACCTATAGTTACATATTACTGAGTTAGGTATTCAGCATGACATATAACAGCTATTTTAGCTTAACTAGTTGCATAGTCGAAGGCTCTCATACAGTGCGAACCAATCTCCTCCAGGAACATGACAGCAAGATGCAAATCGAAAGGAAGGAGAGCCATAATCATACAATGATACGCACCTACAAATAATACAGACCAATAGAAGGAGGAATTCTACAGACAACTTCAATCAGTACTAGACACGTATCCACTGCAGTTGGCGACATCAAAATTCTAATGGGCGACATGAATGCCAAACTGGGAGCGAACAACACAGGAAGACAACTCATCTTGGGCTGAGAAGCACTCCGTGAAATGAATGAGAATAGAGAACTGTTTGCAGACTTCCGCGCATTGAACGGTTTGGTGATTCGACGCTATGTGTACAAACAAAAGGATATTTACAAAGTAAAATGGATCTCACCAGATGGACACACTAAAAATCAGATCGACTTCATTTCAATCTCAAGAAGGTGAAGATGCAGCCAGCCTACTGGACACAAGACTAAGAAGAGAAGCAGATGTACGTTCACACCATTCACTATCTAGTGCAAGGAACCTACCTTCCAAATCAAGTTGAAAGCCTTCACAGAAGTTGGTGATAGACCACAGTTCATGTTCAACACCCAGAAACTCAAGGACGAAACTACAAAGAACATCTTCACGTCAGCCAGCCATCAGGACAAAATGGAAGACATTAAGCACCATCCCTGAAGAAACCTGAGTGGACGAACACTGGAACTCTTTGAAAGAGATGTGGAAGGAAACCTGCATAACCGTATTAGGAAGGAAGAAGAAATAAGACAAGGAATGGATCTCCACGCATAAGTGGAAGTTGATGGAGGAGAGAGAGGAAGATGGTGATGAATTAGAAGATGAACCAGTGAAGTGCAATGAAGGGATGCACAACGAAAAGAGGAACTGAACACAACCTATAAAACACTACACTGAGCAAAGAGGTGAAGAAGACGGCATGCGAAGACAAAAGACACTTCTACGAAACACTTGCAAGTGAAGCAGAACAAGCTGCTGGTAGGAGAGACAGAGACCTGACAACATTATATCAAATAACCAGGTTACTATCTGCGAGGAAAGAGATCAACACAGACGAAATCAATGAAAGATAGTGAAGGGAACCAAGTTATTAAAGAAAAGAAACATAGGAAACAATGGGCTGACCACTTAAAAAGGGTCTTGAATCGACCACCACCAACTGCAACTCGTCCAGAAACACCACTAGTAGCCCAGCAACAGAACTATCAGTGGACACAAGCCCTCCGACAAAACCAGAAGTGAAGTCCTGGACGCCATAAAGTTGCTGAAATCGGGGAAAGTAGCAGGACCAGATGGAATTCCTCCAGAAGCACTGAAAACACGCAAAGATAACAGCGGACACGCTCACACCACTATTGCGGAAGGTTTGCAAGGAAGGAACGAAAGGTACCTGCAGATCAACTGGAAGAAGGGCTACCTTGTCAAACTCCCAAATAAGGGTGACCTAAATCTTTGCAAGAACTGGAGCGGAATCATCCTCCGCTCCTGTCCATCCCAAGCAGAATATTAGGCTGCATCATCCTGGAGAAACTAAAAGATGCGCTAGATTCAAAATTACTACTGGAACAGGCTGGCTGACTGGATTCAGGAAGAACAAATCATGTACGGATCAAATTACAACACTACGCTACGCATCATCATACAACAGAACATAGAATGGCAGTCAACTCTACCTCAACTTCATCGACTTTGAAAAGACCTTCGACAGCATCAACCGAGAAGTAATTTGGCAGGCAGCTTCTTCAACACTGAGGTCTTAGTAACACAAACCTTTATCGACCTTATTCAACAGCTATATGACGATGCCACATCCCAAATAATTCACAACAGAAAGCTCAGTGACGCCTTTGAAGGAAAGACAGGAGTAAGATAAGGTTGCCTACTATCACCGATGATCTCTTTGATTGTGGTCGACTGGACTGGACTGGATCATGCAACAAACTGTGAAGAGCGAGAAGATGGGTGGATGAAAAGGCTCTAGAAGATTTGGATTTTCCCGATGATGATTTATGTCTAATGTCTCATAAGCTCGAAGATCTACAGGCGAAAACTAACAAGTCGGGAGAAGAGGTGAGGCAGAGAAGGAAGACGCGACTTCCTTCAGGTGAACGTAGAGAAGACAGAGGTGATGAAGATACCTAACCAACAACAACTACAACAAGCACCAATCACCATCAACAGGATAAATCTAAACGAAGTTGTCGCTTTCACCTACCTACCTAGGCAGCATCGTTTCAACTACAGGCGGAACAGAAGAGGACGTCAAAGCCAGGATCGGAAAAGCAAGACAGGTCTTAACTAGTCCGAAATCAATGTGGAGATCTTCTACACTCAACTCAGCATAAAGAACAATATCCAGACTTTCAACAGCAATGTCAGTCAATTCAGTGCTTCTATATGGTTCAGAAACATGGTGCGTCACAAAAAGCGTTTCCAACAAACTACAGACATACATCACATCAACAGCTGCCCCTATGCTCACTCGATACTGAAGACAAAATGGCCAGGAAGAATAAGCAACAAGGAACTCTGGCTGGTTGGCAACGAACCAACCAAGAACCTATCACCCAACAAATATGCAGGAAAAAGTGGGGATGGATTTGACATACACTGAGAAAACCATTTGGGGACATCACGTGCCAGGCTAGGCCAGGCCGTCGAGTGGAACCCGCATGGGAAACAACGAGTTGGGCGTCCGAGCGGAGGGTGACAAGGAGATCGTATACGGAAGAAATGAAATCTTCTGGGCAGTCGTGGGGCCAGGTTAAAAAGATTACAGAGAACAAAGTGAAATGGCGACGTGCTACTGAAGCTCTGTGTTCCACTAGGAACCCAAAGAACAAATAATATTGATGATAAAATAATAATAATTTTACTACCGAAGATCAATTAGACAGCAACTGCTTACTTAGATGATCGACGGACTCATTTAGTATGCTGAAGACAGACATATGAAATCTCAGTCTTGAAAAAATAAATAGTAAATCAAAGGTTAAAAGATGGGACAAACATTTGGTTTCTTTTACATGATATCTACACGTTTGTATCTTTTCTATCTCTTTGCATCGATTACATCATCTATACATAAGCGCTGAATGAATAGTCAGCGGATAGATCAGATCTTGTAAGTTCAATGAAAAACGATTCATCTGTAGGGTTATATATACAGAAGACTGGAGTAACAAGAGAAAGAGAAGGGGATCGACAAAGAAAACAATTTTTCACGATATTTTATTGATAATTTCCTTCAGATTTCATACAGCAACACCCACCTTCTTACATTTTACAACGGTAGGAAAAAATGTATTCATTACTTTTTCAATCAACGCAACATCCTACTCTACTTTATCTATCACAAATATGAGATTAAAGGTTCATGTATGTGATAAAAGTAAGCAAAATTACTTACCTCGTAGGCGACTCTGAAATGCTTCTATACTCTCAGTATCTCTCAGACCAACAACATATGGATGTTGGCGGTCGATAAGGCGAGGGATACCACCTGTTGTCAGACACAATTTACCGTAATAAAGAGGATTTTCATCACCACGGTGTTGCAAGTAGACTGCATGGTTAGAAGGACTAAATTAAATGATGCAATAAAAAGGTTCCATTTCATGTTTGTAATTTACTGTGTATCGACAAAATTCTATTCATGCATTTTCAAACATTACCTATAAATCTAATAGAGAGGTAATTCTAAACAAAATTAACACTACGATTACCAACTGGCAATTCCATATACTCATCTTTGCATACACGATAAATGCAGTTTCCGGAGCAAGATGAGAAAAAAGATGGTTCAAAGTTGTGCAGATTGGTTATGGAGATAAAGAAATTTCAATCTTGCGGATGCACACATCATTGTCTTATTGTGTGGAATAACGGTGGAGTATATTCCGACGTCAGTAAGTAAAGTAAGATACTGAATATCCAAAAATACTAGGACTGTACACGAATAATAACCGTACCCCCAGTACTTAATAATTCACTACTAAGCCATGAAAATATCAGAACCCTTGTGAAAGATGAGATCACTTTTTGTAAGCCCAGACAGAATCGCTCGAGCTGATGCAGGGTACTGCTGGTATTTTCAAGACATTCATTCAGCCATGACAAAAACAAGTATACAATGCTGAGGCATGAGCAATACAGAAAGACCTGACAGTTCTGAATAACGTCTATTCTATAGTTCTGTTTTGTCATTACCAATCTAATAATAAGCGTATTCGTTTAGAGACAGTTACGAAATGTCCCATAAAAAACATCAAGAGTGTCTAACTATCCGGTGCCGAATGTCATCAAGTAATCAATAAATCCTGGCGATTGATTACTGGATTAAAAACTCGACCACTGTTACGTTCTATTCAGTATCCTGTAAATTTGCAAGAGCTGGAGAACCGTCAAAGCACCTTAACACCAGAAGTGATCCCCACTAAAAATAATATTCCACGCCATATATACCCAGACCGCGTTTGCGTATTTAAATAATCCTAACTTCTTCAGTATATGGCATAAAAATATGATTTTTAATTCAAAACACTACAGTTAACTTCTAGTAGCTCGACGCAAGGCATTTACAGATATCGTGATCTGAATATTCCACATTATGCTCTATCCTTTTCTGTATCGTCAAAGCGAATATATCGTCTTCACACATATATGATGTAAAAGCTGGGAGTGAATTGGTCATGTACGTCACCTGCCAAAATACCTGAATTACCATTCTGTATTTTCATCTTATAGCAAAGATGAAATGTCTTCCCATCCTCATTGAAAACAAGAGAATCTGAGTAAACACGTATTTGTGTTGGACTCTCATCAGGATCCGCCTTTAAATACAATATTTAACACGAAGTAACCATATACACATCAAGTGACCACATGACGTTGAATTTTTCAGCAGTAATCTGTACATTAAGTTAATTTTAGGATTAAAAGCGTGTAACAGATTAATTCATAGGATTTCAAATAATTAACAGATATGGGAGATTATCAATTACAATTGAATCAAAATTGAAAATCATAACATGCAGTGATCGACTATTGTAAATTAGACATTATAAGAATATATTTTGATATAACCCCAGCGTGTCTGGAAAATCAAAACAAGATATTTTTGAACGTTCCGCTGTATAAGCATTGCTTCTTTGGTAGAAATATGGTAAATTAGGCCAAATGAAAACTAGAAACATTAAAAAAACCCATAAAAATGTAGAATATGGCCAAGTTAGTTGAGTCATCGTGTACCTGAGCTATCCAAACTCCATCTTAGCGCTTGGCCACAGAAGAATAACAGAAGGTTTTGGCAAATAGAGCATAGGTTTCATGGTCTTTACGATAACCACAGCAAATTCAGAGAAGGTGAATTTTTACTCTCTGTGACATTCGATCTGATATCTTGTGGATGACTGAAAAAGCAAACGCTGACCATTCAACAGAATCAAATTTACACTGCTAAAATGCACTCTATGACATCATACGACTATCAATTATCAAGTGTGCACATGAAATACAAGACAAATTAGTTTTTCATTAAGTTATACTCACTTGGTATAATTGTCTACATATTGACTGTTAGGTCACAACCTCAAATTCACTGCATCTAACTGACCATTATAAGCACCTAAAAATCTCAAGCAAAGTGTAAGCTACTGGCTATTGTACAGAATAGATGTACCGGGCGATAATTAGTGAAGTATCCCTTGTAAGTCTAGGCCTTTGTTGCTGCAGTTGTGGCTCATTGACCTAGACACACGACTTTTAACCAATCAGCCGAGTTCAAACCGCGCTTCGCCTATCAAGGTCTGGGTGGTAGGGCAGCATTATTAGCCCTTACACAGTAGATGTGGATCCCTGTCCACTGCACAAACCTCCATATGACCGCTGAATGCAATTCACCTATGTTGCCGTACAAGTTAACGTGGTTGGGATATACTTGACGAACAAACCTCTGTTCCGCACTACTTGATACAACTTTAGTACACAGACATACCCTTAAATACTAAAGCAAAACATTAAACAGATACTTTGGTTCGACGATTATGATTTTGATCTATTTATTCAATACATATTAGTCACATGTCTATCGAAAACCAATGACTACAGACCACCAGTAAAATATTAGTGAACTAGATTTAGTTAGTTCTAAAAACAGGAGACCCTGATTTTTTTTCTGGCTTCCTGTTTTCCACTTACTCATTACGCTTTTCTATATGTGACAGTAAGAACCCGTAATTACGTCTGCTAGACTGCCTGCTGATTTAATCGCTCACTCCGTTGCAAACTTACCAAGATAGGACATTCAAAAAACAAGCATATCAAAACCTAACTTGAAAACCATAGCCCAAAATCACACTAAAATTTGGGTTTTCCTGACAGAAATCGGGTCTAACAACCCAGAATCAAATTCATTTGCGATATTCAGTAATCGCAACTTACTCCAGTTTTATTAATGCATCGTATATTACAGTAAGGGTATTAGGCCAGGTGTCTGACCATAAACTACCAGATTTCTCTTCGATATCAAAAGCTTCGATCAAATTGGTAATACGGCGCAGATTGATTGTGGTTTTGACCGTTTTGGTAGCAGATATTATTGCTACTCGTTTGGACTGGCAACGTGCATCATGCGATGGTGACAAATTAGCTCCTGAAAATCTGCTTGGATTAAGAAGTTCACATAGTGTTTCTGCACAGACAACGCCCGCTATCCCGCCACCAACAATTACAAAATCAAAGTAACTGAGTTCACATCCAGTGGGAATTGAGGACATGTTTGCGTCTGAAGATTAGCTTTAATGACCTAAAAATATAAGAAATGCAACAGATGAAGTAAAATGATAAGAAAACTAAAACGCCAAGATGAATAAGACGGTAATACAATTGTAAACTTGTGGTCAGAAAAATTGTCTTTCACTAACTACATAAATTGAGTTCGCATCTAGTGGCCACAAATGTTACCCAACTACTAGCGAATAAGCTTCAATTAAAAGTATTTAGTGACGAGTACGTTAGTTCTCATCTGAAACTTTTGATAGAACAAAGACCTCTGTGCTGTAAGGCATAACCCAAAACTAGTCACAAAGAATAACGATTCCAATCGATTTACGAAATCAAAGCAAATGGAATCTACTCTAAAGTCTATATATTAGTGTGGTGTTCAAGCTTGCCTATTTCAGTAAGTGGGTCGAACTATGCTGACTGGAATAGAGGAGTGCTAAGTTTCCACGATGAAAAGTTGACTAGAGGATACCAGGACCGAAACCAACAGCTGTTCCAGCTGAGCACAGTCCAACTACTAGTTATACTACACCAACATAACGAAAGTGATAACATGATCACTTTCATAGCATAAGTGAATTTTGGCAGAACCATTATGTCTACAATGTAGAGGATACGCAGTCTTCCATTTAAGAGGTGGATAATTTGATGAGGTGGCAAACTATCATCTACTGAAGAAGCCAGTATACTTGTTACTTACGCTTCGTTAACACCTACCTCGATGCGCTAAGTTTGCTAGAATTATGCTGGGTTGACGAGACAAAGATAGGCCAAAACCCCATAAAGTCTCCTATTTTAGAGTCCAGTTGCATAAGAGTGTAGATTTCCTAATTGGAGTCTATGAAACAGTTAGATACTCCAGGTGATATGGCCCATAACAGATATCGGTGTTCCAGACGAACCTATATCTTAACCACTATATCACATTTCGTTACCTGCAGTAATCCCTCTCATCTACTTCAAGAATATGATAGTAACCAGATTACTTCCATTTTTTGAGGTGTGGTGGCTCGGACCGCATTTTAGTCATCCCATACTCCAACTTGACATTGAATCAGCATCGAAATGATTCTCCTTCATTCTTCAGCCATCTAGTTCCCTTCCTTAGTTCTCTCCTACCATTCCTAATAATAAAATCTTTACACCCTCATCTGATTATTTTTGAAAGACTGCTAATGATTCCAATATACGAAATAGCATCCGCTAGTCTTTTTCCTACTCCTGGACACTATGTCATGCAGCACATACACCACCAATCAATACTCAAGAGTTCACGAGTAAAGTTCCTGCACTTAATAAATCATAAGTGTAGTCATTCATCTGGTCTCACACAGGAAGTGTGACTACTGTATCATATACACTGCATAATGTTAGGTAAGGCTGCCTGATTCCTCCCTAACTTTGTCACCGATAATATTTTTGAGACAGCTCTGAAGGAGGTGCGTGATAGTGTAGATCTACTACTCAATGAACGGTTATTCAACATGAACATGAGGATGATATAGTCTTACTGTGCAATAACATACAGGCTACTCAAATCGCACTTAACCAGATGGCGATTAGTGTCTGTAAGTATGGTGTGTTCTTTGTACTATCAAAGTGCGATTGTAAGACTGCCAGGAGCCTGTGCGTACGCTCAACCTGTGTGGTAAGCCTTTGGAAGTTGTCGAAAAGTCTGTGTATCTGAGTAGTCGAGTGAGTGCTGGCGGAGGTAAGTGGTGAAACCACATATCGCCTTTGGTCCCGTCGTGATGTTAGTTTGACCAGGATTACTACGCTCCGGTACGAGCAGTTCTGCTCTACGCCTATGAAATCTGGCCTCTTCGAGCTAAGGATATGCAGCGACTCTGTGTTCGACTATCCTTTCCTCTGTAGGATTGCTCGTGCCCAGTACCAACAACATGTAAGTAATTCTGAGGAAGGACAGCGTGTGTTTGAACATGATGGAGATCGTCATTCAACAAGTAACGTCATCTAGTGGCGCGGGCATATGTTATACATGTCGTTCCAACGGCTTCTACACCGTTCATTGTTTGTTAGTCTTGAGACTGGATGGAACAAGCGGACGGCTGGTCAGTCTACGACGTGGCGCCGTGGGATGAAAGATAGTTGTATCGGGTTAGCAGCTATTGGTGCATCACGACTCCCCGGATGGGATCCGAGACATCACGCAACTCAGTGGCCTGAGATGTTATCAGATACACCTCAGAATCAAAATCAGTGGCGGACATGCTGTAGCTTCCTTGAATCTTCTGCGGCTGAAAAGTAATGAATGTCTTGTTATGAATGCATCTTATTGAACTGCATTTCTAATCAGTCTACTTTTATTGTTTTTCGCTTCTACTCATCCACTTACCCTTGCTTTATATCTTTAAAATAGTGTTATACTATTTTGTGTGGCTCATCCCTTGATTCTCTTGCTGTACCACGTTTACTTTCAAATAAATAAGTCAAGCTCGAGAACAAGACATCGAGAAAAACGAATAGGTCATGGGCATTTCAACTAAATATTTGCTCTCCACTAGGTTCCGGAACACAGACTTAACGATGCCTGACATTAGCTGTATTTCAAACCTGAAAGTGGTATTCGAATTCGTCAATCGAAAGGTCTTATGACAGTCTCTAGTTGAAAGAGGTGTCCGATAAGTACATCATTCTGCTGGTGTTGTATTTTAACACTCTACAACGTGTCAGAGCATACAATGAAGTATCAGATGAGCTGTGTACATCAAGTGGTGTTCATCTAGGATGCCCACTAACTTAATTCTTATTCAATTTCGTCATAGATGTACTCCCAAACGTCCAACTCTCGTCGACTGAATTTACAAGGATTTATCTTGCTACTTGATAGATCTAGAGCAAGCACACGGATGATATAGCGCTTTCAAGATGCAGAATCTTCTGAGCACAATAACTACAAATCAAGAATCTTTGGGTCGCATTTCTTACCTGTAGAATGTAAATTGATGCTCCACGATTGATTTGCTTTGACGCCTCACTTAACAATCGAGTGTGAAGCGGTTGAATGCGTCGACTATATCACTTAGATGGAAAGACAGATCAGTCCTACTGCGTCAGTGAGCAATAAAATCTCTACACAGATACAAAAGGCTCGATTGTATACTAAGTGTTCAGTGTGCTGCACAACAGCTCGCTCTGTTATACCATATAGCTAAGAAACACGACCATTAAACAAAAACAACATGAGGTGTTCCATCACCTTTGTTTTCGTAGCATAGGTTGTTGTGGTGCCACCTCATGCGTAACGTAGAATTCCGGAGTGCAGCCTCAGGCAATTGAGTAAGCCAATCGGCTCCTACGGTTTGAACAAGTGTTACACATGCTTATTCCTTATCTTTCCTATTGTGCAATGTCAGCTGAAGTAGGTTAGGCGCAGCCAGAATAAAACATGGCATCAGCCCGTGAAGTATTTTACTGTTGGTCAGAGCCACGTAGAAAGACATAGACTCTCCAGTCAAAGTGCACCCAACAACAGAAATTGCAGGTTGCAGACACTAGGCAATATGGCTCAGAATACATCTCACTGGCAAGGATGCATTCACACATTATCTCCAACATAATCATCATACCGAATTTTTTTTTATTCCTTCTCGCCTCTTGACAACATCCCTCCTTACTTTCTTGACCTTTATCATGGTACATTCTCACCTGATATGCTGACATGTGGTGTGGTAACCTATCAACCTTCATGTTGATAGTGACTGGTTGACTAACATCTTCCTGACTCATTCCCACTGTCTTTTTCATACTTCAAGAAATGTGGGAAATCAAACCGATGCACTATTGTGTGGGATGAAGTTTCTCTGTGTCAGGAGTCTAGGTTCAGGAAACAATGGTTTGGAATAGTGCCTGACAACATTAAATAATACGTAACAGCATACCATAAGATAACCAGACATTTTAAGTTTCTAAGCGAATTTCCTGATTCACCTGTTAAAAATGACATCCTAAATGGTAAAGTATGCAAGCGTTCAGTGGTACTCGGAAATCCAGTACCAAAGCAATCGCTCAACTGTTCCATTTGATATAAATGATATTAATGACGAAAACTACTTATGTTTTACATTGTTACAACAAAGTATGTGTAATTCAATCTGTTGCACATACATTCGCAAGGTTGAGTCACACCTACAGTATTAGGGCTTATGGTAACCCCAGCCAAAGTATATCAAACGGGATTGGAACCCGTGGCCATCCACTTGAAAGTGGGATGTCTAAGTCAATGATGCATATCTTCGCGAAAATAATGCCCATAACTCGTACACTGATGAACCAAAGTCCTCTCTCTACATACTAGTATATAGCTAAAACACAGTGTAACTTTGCTAACACTTCATGAGCACTTACTAGGCCTCAAAATATCCTAGATACGTTGCATAACCGAATCAGTATGAATACCTAATATCGTCAGACTTTTGTATTCGTTATACCAAAAGAAGCAGTTGTCGAGACTTACGCGTTGTATATGGACCAAGTGCAAAATTTAAACGCGACTAAAAGTAGATAACGTAACTCAGTTCGTGCACTACCCCAAGCTACACATACTGTTTGATATTGTCTCACTGTTTGAACTAACGTAAATTAAAGAAAATGATAATGAACCCAGTAACCGTAAGCAAGTTCGTGCAGAAAGATGAGCCACACCTAGTGCATAAGGCATGACGATTCTACATAACTGCTCAAAAGTCAGTAGTTCTAGTGGATTTTGAACCTTTAACCGGCTAATCGGAAGTTGACTACCTAAGTTAACGACTCACACTATATTGTTGTATGAGGAATAGCTTGTGAAAAATAACGCACAAGTGCATGAACATAAATAACTAGTGCTTTATAACTTCAGAACTGAAACACTGCATGCAAACACCACAAATGTGACAATCAAAAATCACTAACACATTTATTAGATATGGTTTGATGTTACATTCAAAAACGATCAAGAGTGAAATGTACAGGAATGAGGATTTACAAAGGTTTGAAAAAATGTTTCAAGAATTCTAAACATGGGTCGTTTTTAACTGATCATCTTTATGGGTCTTTGAATGCCACTTTCAAGACAAGACATACGCATATCAATATTACGCATCATTTCTGTAGCTCGCTCCACTTTATATGTGATAAGACTTCGATGAAACAGAACAGCAAAAATCATGAAAATGAGCACTGCCGGTATCACAATAATTGTTCCAGCCACAGCAGACAGACGACTCACAGACCAAAATTTAACCCAGCACGCTAGTATTACCACAGCTAAAAACAAAGTGATTCCAACAACAGTACTGAATATCCATGCAACTTCAACGAATCTGTAGAAGAATTAACAAGCAATATAAAAGACATCTTACGCTCGTAGTCGATTGTGTGGCGCTTCTTCAGTCATGGAACCGTCCCGAGGAACCATGTATGAGTCAATATGTGGTAGAATGCAAGTACTTATCATCACAGCCATAATATGCACAACCACAAGAAGACATGCAAGAGTTGTGAAGGTAATTAACAATGCTTCAGGCGGCTTATTCTCACCAACGATAACCTACACCATTTTCCTTTTGAGTTAGTGTTATAATAACCTCTAATTCGATGATGGCAACCATAGCGAAACCCGCCAATAATGCTGACACTCGACTTGCTGCCTTCAGTTTTGCTCGACTCAACTGTAAATGTCTCCGTGCCAATAAATAGGAATCTGATATAAGTGGAGGTGTGACAACTTCCAACGAATTCATAGAAAGTCCTAACAATAAAAAAAGAACAAACTGTAGTTAAGATTTGTGATAAAGTGACTAGAACAAAACTGAGGAATATCTTACTAAATTAGATTCAATCATTATGAGAATCAAAACAAAGCGTCATCTACAAATGCACCCAGTGACACTTTTTAAAAAAGAAGATAAAGGGAGAGTTATTTTTCTCCCCTTTACACATTAATTTTAGGTGGCCTGAAATTAAACACGGAATAAGGGTTTCAGAAAGAAATGCAAGTTCAGTCCAGGCGTGACAAACCTCCATGAAAAAAAGTCTTACAGTAATATAATTCTTACCAATCACTGTAGAAATAACAGCCTAATACTGTTCATGAGACCTTTGGCAGTGTAATCAATGTACTTGTTGGTCATTTTTGTTTTAAATCTCAAGATCAAGGAAGCTCAGATAGGAATTTTCGCACTAGAGCATCCTATAAACGGTCTATGTGGGTTCATGGTCAATGAAACCCTTACAAGATCTACCATCACTCCGAAACAGTGAAAAACTGGTCCGTTCGAGCTAGGTCGTTAAAATGGCATCCGTTGATGTACTACGCATAATATCGCAATCAATAATGTGATATAAAGTTATGGTCTGATTATATCACTACTATTACTTACCACTCCATTCCACTAAAACAACCCTCGAGCTACACATTTCTGCATAGATATGCTGATGGAGGATTAAGTCGTGCATGCAGACCATTTACATCAGACAACTTATGTGACGACCAATGGTTGGTAACAGGTTTGTGAAATGTTAGGCTGGGAATTAGGTATACGAGGATAGTGACCCAGTGTATTTGGGTGGATGGCATCCGGCAATGGCATGAGATTAAATGACTATTAAAAGTCAGTCATCTCTATCCTTAACTGTTCTCATTATTCTCACCTAGAAACTCCTATAGACACTATACACAGGTTGTATGACACGTATTTATGCAATAAACTAGCCAGCTGCGTTCCAACACTGTAGTCTTCACCTCAAGTTATTGGGATCATAAAGGTTTTAGAATACAGGACTTGCCTATGTGAAATAACGATGAGTCAAACGAGAAGCCAGATTGACAAAATGAGGCGCAAGACAGGATGAGGAAACTTAAGGGTGGCACGGTCTAGTGTGAGGCAGAGGGTGGAGGCGGGCGACATTGCGACTCCTCGGCTGGCCTTGCAAAGTGTTAGCTGGGAACAACTATTGGTGGAATCAAAAGTCAAGCTGACAAAGTAATGTTGTACTGGATACCTAATATAGAAATTAACACAGGACAACCAGCCAAATACTCGTATCACAAATTACCAGTAGAACAATGGAGTTTGAACCCCATTCAAAGAAAGGTCAGCATGAACACGACTTTTCGATTTTACTGACAGGTCTTGCTTGATTCTGCGCGAACCCAAAATCGACTTGAAGCCACTATCAGCTGGAATTTATGGAGTATGAAACCAGTCAGCTTCCGACAGCCTAGAGTCACACATGAGTAAGATCAGGTGTAGTGTATTAGGAAAAGGGGCCATGTGAAGTCAAAATAAACTTAGAAAATCCTAAGTTATTTCTAACTGTCCCCACTAAAAATTATCTCCCAACCTACCACCAATAAGACCCATCAGTATTCATAGACGGTGCCTAAATCGCTAGCCAGTATACAGACAAACGTACGGTGTCCTCGCCCAACACAGGTGGCTGAGCACTTGAAGGTCATCTCACTGAAACCCCATTGGTGCCTCACTGCACCGAAATGTTTGGATTCCGTTCCCGTGGTAAGCTCACACACGAATCCGCACTAACTCTCACCACCAATCAGTACTAGTGCTAGTTTTCACATACGTGCATAATGTCTGACACTTTGTCATCAACAACCACCAAAGTAGTAGGCTCAGATTTTCTGCTGGTGCTGAGCACATATTTAATGATATTGTAGCGTCACAAACTTCCCCAAAATCAACAGCCTAGGGTTTGACGACTTTCGACACTGATGCTGACCTTGATAGTTTAATTGGCCCCGCTAAGCTGAAGGCACCCGGTCAAGCATCCTAGCCATTTGGCACGCTGTTGTGTTACGTTGCACTGCTCGTATTCGACTCTCTAGCCAGTTAGTTGGAACGCATCGGTATTTTGGCACAACCATCCAAATATACTATTCCATCCGACTACGCTATCGTGTTCTTCTTTGGTCTCGTACTCGTGGGTATATAACAAGTCCGAATAATCAGTGATTGGTCTTTGCGTCTGTCAAGTTCGCACCAGGACAAATCCTAGGTTAGTGAGCCCGACGTGATTAAATATCCTGACGTGATCACATATCCCGACCAATAACAGATATTGAATTGGTGAGCCTGTTCCATTTTATATTTGTATATTGTTTTCATTTCGATAACATTTATACATCCATTTACTACACTTTCTCATGTCCGACCACACTCCCAAGCTTATTCGTATTAAGCCGACTACGAACACGATCCAACTCGTGCCATATTGGCCAGACAATGCGGAAACATGGTTTCTGTATACCGAGGCAGGTTTTCGAGAACAGGGAGTCTCAGATCCTCATTCTCGATTTCTTGCGGTCATACGGTCACTACCGCGAGAATTAAACAGGTATGTTACAGCACACTTGTTTAATCCTGAAGTAAGTGATCCTTATGCACTTCTCAAGGCCACACTCTTGAAGAAAAGCGATCTCACAGATCGCCAGCGCCTAGACGAATTACTTCGTAACATCGAGCTAGGCAGCCACCCAGCTACTGAAGTCCTCTCACGTATGCGAGAAGTAATCGGCGCACGAACATTCGACGATGGCCTCTTCCGAGAACTATTTCTCTCAAAACTACCACAACCGGTGCAAACCGTGTTGGTGACACTGTTGTCAGTTCCACTCGATGACCTGGCAGCCTCGGCAGATAAAATACTGGAGATTTCCAGCAGACCCGTCTCCAACGTATATTCTGTCTGTGACAAACCAGATAGCCGGGATTCAGAGGTGACGGAGCTGTACAACTCTGTTAAACAGTTGCTACGATCTCGAAGTCCTAGTTCACGTAGAACTCCACAGAACGCGTCTTAGTGAATAGCAGCGACTCGCGTGGTTGCCCTGAAACTAAACCTAACAGGGTGGAAAGCCCGAAATGGTGCTGGTTTCATAACACTTACGGAGACGAAGCCAGAAAATGTCGGAAACCACGCAGTTTTAACAAGGACACAAACTCGGGAAACGGTCACGCCGGCACGTGTCCACGGCAACCGTAGCCGGCGGAAACAGCCGTTGGCTCTACGTCACGGATATTAAAACGAAAGTTCGCTACCTCGTCGACACCGGCACAGAAGTTAGCGTTCTTCCCGCACCGACAAAGGGGCGTCATCATGACCCATCCTTCAATCTCCAAGCAGCCAACGGCAAGGCAATCGCGACATTCGGGAGACGGTATGCCTACCTCAACTTAGGTTTACACAAACCTGCCCACTGGATTTTCCTCCTGGCTGACGTCTCTATGCCCATCATTGGCATAGATTTGCTAAACCATTACGATCTACTCGTAGATGCTCGCCGTCGACGACTGATAGATAACACAAAGTTATCTATTGGCGGCACCACCTATGTAGGTCCGAGTTTAGCCATCGTTAGAACCAAACAATCAGGCGACGCGTCCTACCAAGCAGTTCTGGAGAAATATCCAGAGTTGCGGCAACCGAAGCACACTCTTCCGTGCATAACCAGCAATGTTATGCATCACGTCACAACCACAGGTCCACCTGTGGCATCCAAAGCGCCGTTTAGCCCCGATAAGCTCAAACGGCGAAAAATGAATTCGACCACATGCTCGAACTGGGCATTATCAGACCGTCAAACAGTCCTTGGGCATCGCCATTGCACATGGTTCCCAAAAAGGATAGCAACGACTGGCGTCCAACCGGTGATTACCGAAGGCTTAACGCCAAAACAACTCCGGACTGCTACCCGATACCTCACGTTTACGACTTGACTGCAACCTTATGCGGAATGAACATTTTCTCCAAAATCGACTTGGTCAAAGCGTACAACCAGATACCTATGGCAGCAGAAGATATCGCGAAAACAGCCATTATTACTCCTTTTGGCCTGTTTGAATTCCTGCGCATGCCATTTGGTCTTCGGAATGCAGCACAAACATTCCAACGCTTTATGGATGATGTCTTCCGTGGTTTGAATTTTGTTCATGTCTACATCGATGACTGTCTAATTGCGAGTCCAGATAAGGAAAATCACCTCAAACATTTGGACCTCGCATTCGAAAGACTTAAAAAACATGGCATCACAGTCAACTTACAGAAGTGTGAAATAGGAGTTGAATCACTCAGCTTCCTTGGGCATACCATTGACAACAAAGGTATACGCCCATTGAGAGATAAAGTGGCGGCTATCACAAACTATCCAGAGCCGACCACTGTGAAACATCTCCGCACTTTCAATGGCCTGGTAAGTTATTACCGAAGGTTTATCCCTAACTGTGCCTCTGTCATGAGACCACTGACAGATCTACTTCGAGGAACTACGAAGTTCGTGTCTCTGGACAACGCGGCTAGACTTGCTTTTTCTAAAGTCAAGGAAGCCATTTCGAACGCAACCATGCTTATGCATCATGACCCCAATGCTCCTTTGAGTATTGCTGTTGATGCATCTGATTCAGCAATTGGAGCAGTTTTGCAACAGTTGACTGACAACCAGTGGCAACCGTTAGCCTTTTTCTCGAGGCGGCTGCAAGACGCGGAAACAAGATACAGTACATTTGGTAGGGAACTCCTAGCTATGTACTGTTCTGTACGCCATTTTCGACATTCTGTGGAAGGTCGTGATTTCATTATTTTCACAGACCACAAACCGTTAACGTTTTACCCCGCGTGAGCCGCGACAGCTTGACCACACTTCCCAGTTCACGTCAGACATCCGCCACATTTCTGGAGCAAATAACTCCGTAGCCGACGCACTATCTCGAATAGCTTCGATAAATCATATCGAGGGCGTTGATCTCGTTGAACTAGCTCGGCGTCAAAAGGAAGACCTTGAGCTGCATCATGAGTTGTCGTCCACAACTCTCAAGCTGCGACTTTGTCCGGTTGGATCAGACAAGGATACAATTTTGTGCGATGTCTCTGCTAGTCAACCACGCCCAATAGTTCCGAAGAGTTGTCGACGCAACGTCTTCAATACGTTGCACAAACTCTCTCATCCAGGTGTACGAGCCACCATTAGGCTTATCGCACAACGTTTCTGCTGGCCTGGGATGAACAAAGACGTTAAGGAGTGGGCTCAGTCGTGCTTAGCTTGTCAAAAGTGTAAAGTCACGCGACACACGAAAAGCCCTTTAGGCTCTTTTCTAGCCCCAGACATGCGTTTCGACCACGTCCATATAGATATTGTAGGACCCCTACCAGAATCTAATGGATGTACCTACCTTTTCACCTGTGTTGATCGTTTCACACGATGGCCGGAAGCAGTACCTATTAAGGATATTACTGCTGAAACAGTTGCTCGTGTTTTCGTCGAAAGATGGATCGCGAACTTCGGATGTCCATCTTACGTCACAACCGACCGTGGGCGCCAATTTGAATGTGGACTATTTCACGCTCTAACGGCACTTTTAGGTTGCACCGGGTTCCGAACGACAGCCTACCATCCACAAGCAAATGGCATGGTAGAGCGTTTCCATCGACAGCTGAAAGCTTCCCTTTCAGCTGCAAACACACCTCAGTGGACCGAGGCTCTGCCTCTAGTCCTACTAGGTATTCGTAACGCCTTGAAAGTTGATGCTGGATGTACCCCTGCAGAACTCGTCTATGGGACCACTCTTCGCCTACCAGGTGAGTTTGTTTCTCCTTCAACTTTCAAACATGTTTCCGACAGGGCATCGTACGTGACTAGGCTTACAAGCGCAATGCGTTCAGTTAGGCCTTCTCCGGTTAGACCTCAAACGACTGATGTCTCCGTTCACCCCAGTTTACAAAAGACATCACGCGTGTTTATTCTCCACGACGTCGTTCGTCGACCACTTGAACCACCCTACGACAGGCCATTCAAAGTGATCAAGCGACACGAGAAATTCTACATAATTGAGAGAGACTGACTTGAAGATACTGTCAGTATTGACCGTTTGAAACCAGCTTATTTCAAAGGCAACCCCATTATAAGTGACGTTTCAGCTCGCTACAGCCAACCGACGGATAGCTCAATTATCGAAATTCTTGACGATGTGCCTGGTAATGCGCAGCTGCAACAACCATCGGCGCAACAGAAAACACGATCAGGTCGAACCGTCAGGTTCCCGGAGTATTTGAAGTTGTATTCAACTTAGTGGTGTGAGATAAGATGTACCAACCATTTTATTAAAAATTCAATAGTTTGTTTCCGAGGTACTATTCTTCTTATTTACCGGCAATGCGCAAACCCTCGTACATCTTGCCTTTGGTGTCAATTTTTTATTGCCATGTAATGGAACGTTTTTAAAAAGATGGTGAAAATAAGCGTGAACTTTACTTTCGATATATTTGTATATACATAATTCCCATTTTTTCGAAGCGTTTTCATGGCATTAAAGACTTTCCTTTATATTCCAGGTGCAACGAGCACTGGACGGAACGTCAAAGGAACTGAGGACTGCGATCGACGTACAATTCGATTCATTGTATTTTATTATTTAATTGCCAAGACACCCTAGAATAAGTTCAGACAACCGGGAGC